AAAGAAAGGCTACAAACAATTGTCTCTATCTCTCCAGGAGGTTCCAGAGCCCCTTGGTCGTCCAAGAAAACGGTCCTATCGTCGCCACGAGCAAGCCAACAACTACGGGAGACGCGTGGACGCACGTGGTGTCTTGGAGGACGCACCTAGGAGCTTTGTGTGCTCTGTCGCAGATGGACTGTACTGTACAACTTTGGTGGGTTTAGCAAGCTTTTAGGATGGGCAAGGCGATTTGTAGCTACTGTATACCTCCTACACCCCGCCTGGTCGAACAGCATGCAACAGCGGCGCTGGCAGGAAGGAGGCGAGTTGAAGACGCGGCCTCAACGATTCACCCTTCTCCGAACTTCAACCTTCCGGCACAAGGACGGAACGTGCGCGATCGTCCGTCGTCTGGTTCTTCGAAGCACACGCCTGCGACTCAGACCGTTGCAACACCCAGAAAGCTCCTCGGAGCTTTTCACAGCAAGCGTCCTTGTGTCGCTAGTACATCACACGCACGTCGTATATGGCGCAGTCGCCGGACCGCAATGTATGGTCGTTTGTCGCGTGGGCGATGGTAAGGGGAGACCTCGGAACACGGCGGGTGGCGACACCAAGTGTGCATAGGAAAGGTGGCTTCAAGCTCAGATAGCATTACCGACGCTCGGAGCTGCAAAAATCCGTAGACGGTGCAGAAGAAGAAGAGAGGGCCCACGAAGCTCCGCGTGACGCCACCCGTGCCACATCCCTACCACGCGATTACGATGGTGGTCGCGTCCGCACGTCTGACATCGCAACCGAGCTTGGCCGGCCTTCTCGCTTCACCTTGAAGCTACTGAAAAGCGAGGCCAATAAGTCAAAACGCCGTCTGTTGGAAAAATTACAAAAAAATAAATGCTAGCACCGACGCTAAAACCTCTAAGTCGACGACACGGACGGAAGACAAGTTTGTTGGCAAGTCGCAGAGTGGTAGCGCGGTATCTTTTTGCGTGAAAAGATATGCGAAATGGACCTTGGACCACGGAGCTCTCCTCGGAATCAGGATGCATCCAGACAACCAATGATTGCGAGGGTTCGCGGTGCCCCGGGTACGTGGGCGTGACATGGATACGTGCCCCGGGGCGTTGGCCGGAACAAGACGCGTCCGATTCAGTTTGCAATTTGAAGCGTCATGCACCCGTCCCCGTCGTCGTCGTCGTCCTCGAGTCCGCGCCGGTACAAGCGGTACCTCTCGGAAGAGACACTCGAGCGCAACCGTGAGCGGTCAAAGAAGTACTATGCGCAAAACCGCGCCAAAGTGCTCGCCAAACTAAAGTCGAATTACGCCCGAAAGCGCGAAGCCGAGACCACCGCGTACTGCGAAAAGCACCGCGGGTTCTTTCTGAGCTACTTTCACGTCGACCCGCTGGCACGGCCAGTCGCGTCAAAGGACGAGGCGCCCGCGTCGTCACCACACCACACTACGACGACGACGACTTCCACCGTCAATGCGCTCGACTTGGCCTACATTTTGAATTAGCCTAGTACTTAATACATACACTATTTAGTTTTTTGTGGCGGACGGACAGCGCAACAAGGACACGTCGGATTGTCGACACTGCGAAAAGCTCCTCAAAACGTCCGTCGCAGCATCCATGTCCCCCACTGCCATTTTTGCGCGTTAGAGTGGTCATATAGTATCGCTTCCTTTGCAGGACATGGAGCTGGTGTACGGAAGGCGTTGAAGCCGAGAGCACAGGCAGCATTGTTGTCAGCAGACGTGGACCATGTTGAAGGAGTGGAAACGGTGTTCCGTGAGAAGACCTGAGCGTCTCAACAGTCGAACGACGCCAACCGGCACCCGAGCCAATCCCCGATTTGCAGCCCATAGCTTCGACCTAACCCTGTCTCGCTCGCCCATCACCAAGCAGGCGGGCACTACACACACGAGCGCACTCTGCGTGTGTATATCACAGAGTGCGCTCGTGTTCTTATCGACCCGGCAGGCGGTATCGCCGAGGTCGAGCGTCCGCTACCTCGTCGCGCCACCAAGCAACGATCACGAGGCGTATGAGGAGGAGCAGCGCATGGTGGGTATGCGCCGTCGACAGACGTCGCAAGCGCTTTTCTTGTACGCCGCCACTCTTCGCATTGAGGGCCCACGCCGGCCGCTCGGGTCGCGTCGCACAGGAGAATCATGCGCTTTCCTAAAATCCCAACGTCGGCGTCCATCGATGAGCCGAATGCGATTTTGCCCAACAAAATGCACGTATCGAAAAACCATACAATCAAAGTTATTGCGGGACGTGCTTTGAACGTACGCGGTGAACTTAGATTGAGGAAGGTGGATTGTAAACAAATGCTTCGTTTAGACCTCTAGTCTAGTGACCAGATTGGAGATGCTGCATGAGCTTCGCTAGACGGTCGCTGGCTGGCGCCGCAGTGGGCAGCGTCGAGAGGATGCGGTGCATAGCCGTGCGCACGCCGTCCATGCCACGCACGCTTGCGTCGTTCGTCTTGGCGAGAGCGAGCCATTCGTACCAGTCCTGGGTCATGGCCTTTACGACCATGTCGGGGCGCTGGCTCGTAGCCAACTGAAGGCCTGTTTTCAAGCCTGTGTTGGGCTCTGCCATCGTACAACAGCGGTCCTTGGACATGGCAACATAGCAGCGCACGTTTTCCAGCTTGGCTTTCATGATCCCAAGCACCTTCATGGTCCTCTCGAGGCTCATCACGGCGTACTCGTGCGCAGCGCGGTCCTCTCTTTTGGCCAAGACCATGTCGCGCATCACGGCGTTGATCGCGGCATTGACCACTTGGAGGCGGGCGTTGACATCGCGCAGGAAATCGGTCACCTGGTCAAGGAGGCTCGAGTTCATTCCTTCCGAGCGCGCAGCGAGCGAAGGCAGCGCCGCAAGCAGCGAGCGGGCATCGTCGATCTCGTGTTTCCGGAGGCTGAAAAAGGTCAGCTTGAAGTGCTTGAGCGCTTCCATCGACGTTTGCAGGTGGGTCGAGCTCGCACGGCAAAAGGCGTCGACCAGCGTCTGGTACTGGATCGCGAGACTCAGCATCGACGCGTGGCATTGGTGGTCGTACGACAGTGCGATCGCGCATTCGAGAAGACGTGCCACGTCGTCGAGAAACTGGATGCAGTTTTGGACCTGCAGGTCGTTCGCCACGGCACCGACTTTGTTTCGGACGTCGGCGTCGGCGAGCACGGGCTCAACACCCGTCTTGTACTCGGTGAACGAAGCCAAGGCGCGCGTCGGGTCGACGAACGCCATCGTGCTGATCGCAGAAAGATGCAAACTGCAATCAAATCAGAGTTCAGAATGGTGAACTGCCAATCCCGCAACGGACATGTCACTTGGATCGTAGTGCACTTGGGACGAGAACAATGTACGATATAAATGTTGTGACTGCAGAGCCATCAATGGGTTTGTTGTACAATACTGTCTGTCGTTGTCAATCGTCTAGTGGGACCGCTCCATCCATTCACTTTGGTCCTTTGCCTCGTCCTCGTCATTTGGACCGTCTGTCATCCAAGTTTTCAAAATGCATTTCAAAACGCAACAGCAACTTGCGAAATCCATCGGTGGCGTCTTCTTGCAAGAGCCTCTAGCGTCCGCCAAGAGCTCAGTACACTCAATGCTTCTTGTCACACCCTTGGCGACCCACGGCGATCGCCAGCTATAACTGCAGAGATCGCCTGCGCTTGTACTACCGGCTCGTCCACTGCAGCTCTTTGCCGCACGACACACCACTTCGTTCCTTGGTTCTGCAGTGCAAGTCCGCAACACAATCGCATGCAATCTTGCGTCCAGGATACCCGTTCTTTCCAGTTGGTTGAGGCTGGCGACAAAGATGGTTTCAGCACGAGTACCGGAAGGACGTCAGAGCAACAATTTCCTATTACGAGACGACTTGAATGGACGTCCAAGCAGTACGACCGACGCATTGACTCCTGTTATATGCATGCCAACTTGGGTGTCTGTAGGTGGAGCTCGGCTGCGCCGCCGACGAAGGTCGCTTGGCTGATGTGAAGCGACTCGTCGAGATCGACGGCGTCGATCCCAACTACGGCTCTGGGGTTTGACATTGCACTTTGACATTGCCTTTTCTCGAAATATTCCTCGATACCTATATTCATATTGTAGAGAGCCCTGTGCTACGCAGCGGCGAATGGCCATGCGCACGTCGTGGCCTACTTGCAGACACAGAAGGTGGCGACCGACTTTTGCGATCGCGTACGTCATCCTTGTCATCGCGTCGTGGATCGATCCACCGTCCTTTTTCCTGTAGGACGGATACACGCCGCTTTTGTACGCAGTACTTGGCAACTTTCCCGACATTCTGCGTCTGCTCTTGGACGCTAACGTCGACGTCGACGCAGCTACCTACGTACTTGATCTACATTGAAATTGGAGACAAGTACGACGACGGGATGCTGTAGAAGGGTCAATCGCTGCTGCACGTGGCTCTGGACAAGAAGCACGACGGTATCGCACAGCTTTTGCAAAACCATCTTCGTCGCCAGCGCCAATTCACGGTAACCATTCGATGTTGCATAAGCGAGAAAGCCCACGGTGGCATGCGACTGTGATTTCGCTAGCTGGTGGCAGCGCTGCAGGACGGCCGGCTCTCGGACGCCAAGGTCATCTTGTCCCAAGACAATATTGACGCCACCCTCTTCGATGACGTACGCAATGACATACATACCACTGTCTTGGAAACAGACCACCTGTAGACGGGTCGCCCACTGGTCCACCGCGTCGTCGAAACGGGGAATCTCGAGCTCCTGCACAAGCTCCTTGCAAAGCCAAATGTCAACATTGACGTGACCGACAAGGTAAACACACCACCACAACGACAATGACATTATTGTCCATACGATTCTAGCAAGGACAAACGGCGCTCGCCTCCATCGCAGTCAAAAACACTGCCAGTATCGTCCACGCTCTTGTCAACGCCAACGCACGTCTGGACCTGCTGGACGAGGTACGTGGCAGCGCATCTCGCCGTGGTGCAACGTCGAGGTTTAGGGTTCGGTGGTTCAATATGACGGTTTTGGCGCGCTGCTGCTGCATGCAGCGTCGACCAACAATGTGCGCACCGTCAACAAGCTCCTACGTGCCGGCGTCGCGCCCACTTCGACCAACAACGTACTGCACTTGCACTTTTTACTATTTCAAATCCTGTATCTTTTGCCCTTTAGAACGGAGAAACCGCACTCCACCTGGCCGCTGCGAGTGGCAGCTCGGCCGTGGTCCAGCACCTGCTTGAGATGGACGCATCGCTCGCGCGTCGCCGAGACGCGGTAGGATCATCATTGGCTCTTGGCCTCTTGGATGACGCCTACGTCATCTCTCTAGCAAGGCTATCTGCCGCTGCACAGCGCCGTGACCTCCGGTCAAGCGGCGGTCGTCGAGGCGCTTCTCAAGACGGCGACCCGCGGCGACCTCGCGAGTCCCAACGCTGTATGATTGTCGATTTTTGCACCATAGCGACGATTTGTTGTCCTTTGGTCTAGAACGGCGATACGCCACTGGACGTCGCGGTCCAAGGTGGCCACGCAGCGATGGTTGCGCAGCTGCTACAAGCCCAAGCGTCCCTTGGCTCGACGCCTCGTGTATGCCTCTCTGCTGTGCTCTATACAGCTCGCTCACGCCTTTCGTAGGAGGGATGGAGCCTTCTGCACCAGGCTGCCTTTGCGGGCAAGCGCGACGTCATCGAGGTCCTACTCAAGAGCAACTTCAACATCTTTACGACCACGAATGTGTGCTGTGTGTAACCAAAGGCGCTAACGAAAGCGACCGTCGAAGTAGGCGGGCGAGACCCCGTTGGCACTTGCCATCCAGCAGCAGCACGCGCGTACCGTCCTGCAGACCTTGCGGAATGCGGAAGCTGCCGAGAAGCAGCGCTTTTTGGAGGCCGTGCGCGCCGGCGTCGACGACGACGTTCAACGCTTCTTGGCAAAAGGCGTGGACGTCAACACGACAGACGCGGTGCGTGCTCGCGCAGACACAATATTTCCTGAGATTTATTCTGTTGACCTAGACCACGGGCTTGTCTGCACTGCGATTGGCGGTTGCGGCCAACGCGCCACGAGTGGTCGAGCGACTATGGCGTGCGGGCGCCACCGTGGACGCTACGGTGCGTTCTTACTCAGGTACCGGAGAGGTTTTTTAAGACCATGAGCTAGGAGGGCATGGCGCTCGTGTCTCTGGCGGCCCAAAGTGGTCATGCCGACATGGTCGAGCTGCTCTTGACGATGCTGCCCCCCGACACGACTGCATCGGCTATCGCAGCCAGCTACACCGAGGTCATCAACAGTGGCTGCGCCGAGGTCGCCCGCGTCCTTCTCTCGCATTCGCAGCGAAGTGCGGCGTCTGCAGACCACGCCAAGGTCCATCAAGACCCTACGATGCATGGGCTTCTCACATGATGAATAGATGCTGGCCTTTTTGGCGACCGCAGCAGGCCAGGTGGAGGTGCTACAACGACTCCTCGCCGACGATCCCAAGCGCTTGACAGACGACACGACTGTACACTATCTTGCGTCTCAACTCGGGTAGAATAACGTCTGGCGTAGGCCCGAGGCAGCTCGCTGCTCATGGTCGCCGCCGCCAGCAACAGCGTCGAGATGATCGAGATGCTTCTGTCTCTGCTGGCGCCCGTCCCCGAGGCCAATGAGGCGACTTATGGGTCGTTGAAGGCTCGTCGCGTGGTACTTCAAGCCGCCGTCACCCATCTCACGGCCCGCAACAAGGTATATCCTTGGACCAACCAGGAATTGAACTCACGACGGGTCAGGATCACAAGACAGCTATGCAGCTTGCGACGAGCAAGAACGCGAAAGCACGCCTCGAGAGCTTTACCAAAGATACGCAAGCCACGCTGAAGAGCGTGGACAGCCAAATAGCATCCAAGGTGCGTCTCGCCGTTGTTGTTTACGGTGTCGTTAGGAACTCAAGTAGGAAACCGCGCTGGCGGACGCTATGCGTGCGGGTCATTGGACGGCCGTCACCACCCTCTTGCACGAAGGCGTCGTTGCCGCCAATGATATGGTGCGATCCCTTAACCTACCCCTTGTGGTGTCATCTTCGACTCGTAGCGCAAGGAGGTCGACCAAGGCGTCGCAACAGACGACGCAAACTTGTTGCTGGCGCTTCTCGGCAGTGCCACGGATGAGACCAGATGCAAGGTAGCAGTAGCGCATGTCGGCATCACGCTATATCTGCGATCCCGTGTAGATGTACCACACGGTGCTGACGGCCGCCGTGGCCCAGAGAAAGACCCAGCTGGTGTTACGTCTTCTTCACACCAGCCATAGCAACTTGACGGTACCCACTCCGCGCATTAACACGCAGTATTAGCATAACGAGATCGGTGTAGACGGACGTGAGCAGTCTTTTGCACCACTGCGTCGAGACGGACCAGCCGACACTGCTCACGCTGCTGCTTGCAAGTCCCTGTGTCAACATCAACGCTACAAACCAGGTACTCGTATTGTACTCTATCATTACTCGCTGATGTTGACGTAGGAGGGGTATACAGCACTGGCGCTGGCCGTCAGCCGCAACCGCAGTACCGTGGCCCAACTGCTCTTGAGCCTTGGTGCTGACGCGTCCATTCCACTTCCGTCGACGACTGGCGTAGCAGCTTATCTGTCATGACGTCCTTGGTTTCACAGTTATATAGGTGGACCTGACCCTACTGCAAATCGCGACGCAAGGGCTACCAGAGACACGCAGCATTCGAGACGCTCTCTTGGCAGCCATTGGTATCGTCCTTGACGACGCAGACCCGGTACCTTCCAATCACAATTTTTGCGTTTATACATGAGAAAATGTAGGAATCGATTAACAAAGCCTTGTTGCGGGCGGTGTTGGACGGCCGCGAACGCGCCGTGCGCTGTCTTTTGGCCATGGACGTTGATGTCTGGACCATGCAGCCGGTCCGTCTCTCCATCTTCTCTCTCTGAGACCGAGAAACTCTGTTGATAGGAACAAGGCGACAAGACGTTACTGGCCGTGGCGATCCAACGCGGCCACAACGCTGTCGCCCAAGTACTCTACCCACGCATGTACCCCGCGCCGGTATCGGTAGGCTTAATTCTAGCATTTTCGGAAATTTTGATGCAATTTCTTGACAAAATTAGGTTTTGGCCACTGACCTCCGCGTCGGCATCGCCATTTTCGGGGGACCTAATGTGACTGTGTACGCAGCCTCGTACGAGAGCAAGGACGTTGTTCTCAAAGGCCCCAAATTTCCCAACAAGCGCATGATGACGGAATTTCAACGCGAAGTGGCCGCCATGCAAACGTACCCTATCCCTACCACCTTGTACGCGTTGTCGAGCTCCGTCATTCGACTAGGGCCACGTCGCCGTACTTGATGCCACTCATCGGTATCCTCGACAACCAGTCGACGTCGCCCCACACGTTCAAGCCGCGTGGTCAGTTGTACAGTCCAACCATGGTCATGGAGTACATGGACCTTGGCGACTTGCACGACTATATTCAGTCGAAAAGCCACCAGGTCGATGTCGGACTCGAACTCGCGACGATCGATGTGGCGCTCGTGCTCGCGTTGGCCCTTGCGGATTTGCATGGCCGCGGCGTCATCCACCGCGACGTCAAGAGCCTCAACATTTTTCTCTCGACCACCTACTACGTCCGGCTTGGCGACCTTGGCTCGGCGCGGACCCTCGACACGGACAGCGTCATGTCGTCCAACGTCGGCACCAAGTACTGGATGGCGCCCGAGGTGCTGCGCGTGCCGGGGCATGCAGGCGAAGGCCGAGCGTACACGACGGCCGCCGACATCTACTCGTTCGGCGTCGTCTTGACCGAGCTCGACACGCTCTCCGAGCCGTTTTCAGATATCCCTGCTGCCAACCGCGGTGCGATCGAGGAGGCCGTTCGCTTGGGCCAGCTGCGCCCAAAAATGAGTGCAACGTGCCTCCCGTGGCTTCAAGCCCTCGCGGACAAGTGCTTGGCGTTCGACCCGACGGCGCGTCCGACGGCCGCCGCGATCGTCGACGAGCTCCTGCTGCGCCGCAAGTCTGAGATTGCAGCATCGACCAGCAATCGTTGTCAGCCGCCGGAGGTTCCTGAAAGCTGCCGCACGAGCAGCAAGGTTGCGGAAACATGTTCTCAAGTTGTGTGTACTGATCTCTGTTCATAGGCCGCCTAATGATGGCTTACCGAGGACACGACCCGTTTGTGTCTACCGTTGGTCACTGTGGTCGTTCTAGTGTTGAATCGACAAATTATCTGCGCGTTGGGAATAACATGATAGAACAGCGGTTGCGATACTGTGTTATAGCTATTGGTGTGGCGTACTTGGCAATCGTGTGCCATACCGCAGCAATCCTACCCTATTTTGTCCATTCAAGTTCTACACTCTTTCGTGATGAGACTTGTAAACATCTGGGACCAAAAAGGGCACTGAACGAGTTCAACTGGAAACACTATCTATAGCCTCAAGCACGACATCTAGAGTCTTGAATTATGTGTAAACTCGTGTTTTGAATCGACGAGACCCTATCCCTAGTGATGTCGCTCCGTCCTCGGTGTTTTAGTAGATGTCAACGCTATATTGTGGTCACAACGCACGACTTACGCGTTGTATACCACATGATGGGATGCACAAGACGAGCATGGGCAGCAACTGCAGCTCCAAGAGAAAAGGGTCGGCTACCCAATCTCTAGCGGCTGACATGTCATCAGATACCCTCTGTTCCAATTGTGGCTGTTGGAGCATTTCGAGGTTTTTCATCTCCAGGGTCGACTGGCAATTTTCCCTCGGCTTAGTCGTTTCGTCGTCTAGTCAGTCTACTAGTCGCTTAGTCGTGAATTGTGTGAACTTGATGGCTGGAACGGTCCATGTCGTTCTCCACCGTTGGGTCTCCGTAGACCTCCGAGGCGGCGGCCTCGTGCCTCGCCGCCTCCTCCTCATGATAGCACCATAGCTGCACTCATCTTCATTCTCACTCTAATAGCGGCATCGGCACCTTTTGCTCACCGCTTGAACTACGGAAGAATACTAGTTTAATTCTTGC